TTAATCAACGCTGTGTGGGACTAAGTTCATAGAGTTTTTATGGACATGCATTCCTAAAAATCGTAATTTGTTGGCAATTTTCAAAGCATTAGTGCAGCTACTTTACTCTTTGATACTGTTTCATACGATCGCACTTTGGAGGTGTTGTGGCACCACGAAGCTGCTGAGTTTTAATCTGGAGAAGGTGTCTATTTCATCTTAACCGCGAGTTTTCCTGAAAGAGCAATTTGCCTCACATTTATCAATGCAACCACGAGAAACCGGGAACCACCGAGAAACTGCTAATAAATCGCTGACTTGCCAACAACAGGGGCAGCGTGTTGTTCTAGTTTTGTCATACAAGAATGGGCGAGAGGTACTGCCGTAACTTCTGATGTACCTCATAAGTGGCAGTTCGCCTTGACCCACCTAGTAGCTGCTTATTCAATGTGACAATCAGTAAAATGTGTAACCCTTGCATTGTTGATTCTGCAGATTGTAAACATCATACTGACCATCCTAGCTAATTGGCAAGGTGGATGATATGCCATTAGCGATCGCCGTTCCACTGACTCATTAACTGCTCCAGTTATGACAAGTTTCCGGCTGTGTCTTCATCCATACACTTTACACACAACTGCTAGGCAAGTCGTCGCATGCCGCGCTGATAACCCTGATGAATTTCATAATGCTCATGGTTCCAGTTGACTGGAAATTTGCTACCGGTCTCTCAATCAGTTACCTAATAACGCTTTGCAGGTATCTGAGATGGAAATTTGCATGTCGTGCTACTCCATCCCACATCATTTAAACAGGTAATGCACTCAGATGCATATTCAAATTCTCTGGGTGAAGCATTGTTGAACACCAATAACTTTCTGAGCTTCAAGTCATTAAATGAAAGAATTAACATAGCAGTGTTAGGATTCGTAGTTGATGATGATTCAGTGATATGATCTTGAATTGGAGCAACTCCCAAAGGGCGTGACAAAAGTATTTCCCAGAGAACAAATCAACGTTATGTGAGGTAACGCTAAACGAGATCATACTGTATTTACGAACGAAGGATATCACATTAAGAGTTAAGTCGACGAACAAATCAAAGTTAGTACCATCATCGGTATAGAAGAAACTCCATTCAGGTTGGTTCCACCAGGGCTGTATGCTAAAGCAGTTTTGCTCAGCTCTTCGGTGAGGCAGATTATGGCAGAGTACCTTAGCGCCTTCTCTAGATTGGATATTAACACCCGTGTATGCATAACGGCGGTCAGTCCCCTCATTGAGAGTTTTGTACAATTTCGACGGGTTAAATTACTGGACAAAAGAACAAATTAAACGACAAGCGACGCTTCATACCTTGTGACAATTTAACTTGTTATATCTATGATCTCAGGATGAGATATGACTTATCCATCAATTCCATAGCTCAAATTGTAATCGATCGATAGATTGATTTTTCTGCATTTTCTACCTTCAAAGATGTCATAGGAAATTTTGAAGAACATAGAAAGGCTACTGGAATGATATAATCTGAGAGAAATGTTCAATGCATAAGGCGGACAAAGCATGTACTGGCTTACATGTTTCTCTCAAACTGCAATGGCTTCGGGGAGACACCAGAGTAGTGGAGAAAGGGTTGTAGCACCGTTCAAGAAGGGAAGCCACAGGGAGTGCTCCAATTATCGGACCATTACCTTATTGAGCCTTCCAGGTAAAGTCTACGCAAAGGTGCTAGAAAGGAGGTATCGCGAAACAGCTGACCTCAAGATTCAAGAAGAGCAGTGTGGCTTCCGGCCCGGTCCAAGAACCTGTGACCATACATTTGCCCAGCGCCAGATTGTTGAGAAATCGTGGGAGTACGCCCAGCCGGTGTACAGGTGTTTTGTGGACCTAGAGAAAGTGTATGACCGGATCCCATGCAACAGTCTGTGGTCGTGCCTGCGGGCATACAGAATAGATGGCCAGCTGCTAAGCGCCATCCAATCACTTTTTTTGATAGCAGGTGTGCGCGTGAGTAAATGGTGTTAAATCGAAACTTTTTAACGCTGGCACTGGTCTCCGCCAAGGCTGTGTCCTGTCCCCCCTCCTGTTTATGTTGTACATAGATAGAGAAAGCCTATGACCGGATCCTGTGCAACAGTCTGTTGGCATGCCAGCGAACATGTAGAATCGATGACCAGTTGCTATGGGGCAATGCAATCACAATATGCTAATATCAGGTGCTGCTTCAGAATAAATGCTTATACACGATCTTGCTTTGTTTGCATCTTCTGAAACTGATCTATAGCGCTGTGCAAGAGTTTGCAGCCGAGTGCAATATAACCGGCTAGCGTGTGAACTCATTTAAAATGTCAAGCTTAGTGCTTTCTCGTTCTCCTGCGTTTTGATCTCTTTAGATTAACGGAGAGGCAGTGGAGCATTTAGAGAAGTTCAAGTACCTATGAGTCCGTGTTCACTGGTGATGGAAAATTTGAGGAAGAGAACGATCGGCGAATTGGAGTAGCCAATGGTGTTCTGCGAGAACTGACCCAAGCCAATATGATTTAAACAGAGCTCAGTCTAAAGACTAAACCTACGGTGTTCAAGTCGATCTTAGTTTTGAATTCGGACTCATCTCTGTTTTAGTTGCAAAAGTGTGGATTAAGTTACGAAAACGTCTCTGGCTGTTCATATTCGCCGGTCATACTTCTCATCCCATTTTTTATCAGACGAAAACTTAAATGTGAGGTATGCAAACTGATCCATCTGTTTCACTGCTTTTTTGTTTATCGTCTGATTGCAGTGGGGAGAAGAACGCGAAAGCAATATGCCTTTCAAATGTTCATGCGCATGCCACACACGTTGTACTCATCTGCGAACCTTTTCAGAAAGTGTTGGAGATTATTTCCGGAAGATTTTAAAAGAAGAAAGTCATCTCAAAACAGCAAGTTCTCGTTTTTACATCTACTAAGCAGATAAATTCGTCGCTTTGGCTAGCATGATTGTTATGCATAAGTGTGGCACAAACAGGAGAGCGGACAAACCGCAATTTTGCCAGAGACCAGTGTCGACGCTGAAAGATCGCGATTTATTGCCGTCCACCCTGATGCAGTAACTACTACTAGCATATAGTGATAGGATGCCCGTAGCACTCAACTAGCCATGGTCCTACGTTTTAAAGCAAGGTCATGGGCTTTTGCGAGGGATCCGACAGCAAGCATTCTGCACGTCAACAAAGCGCAATAAGTCGGATGAGCTACCTCGTACAGTTTCGAAGCAGTCTAGCGTAATGCGAAGATCTAGTCGAGGGATCAAGAAAATTTTTTATCTATTATCTCAAAGCATACCCGTTTTCGCCAACGTTACATCTTTGATCTGAAAGGGAGATAATCATCGAATATTAATATTCAAAACGTCTATTGAATTTGTTTATGCGGGGAATAAAATTATAAATATGAGAGGCATTAAATAAATACGATAAAATAAATGAATATCCCCATCATGAGACAAAGTTTCTTTTTTAAAATGTTTGCACTTCAGCTTTTGGAGAAATGAAGTGTTTCAATTTTGATGCCGTGACATCAGAATTAGAGCATTCTGATGTTAGAGCAATTTTGATACTTCCCTGGCGTCGTTTAAGTTTTTTTTAAAGTTCATTTAAATTTATAATAATTTAATTGATAAATGTGGCACTAAAAGATATCCTCAAGATGAAAGCAGTATTTAAAATATTTTACTGACATCAAAAATTAATCGAACAAGGAGAAAATATGTCAATGAAATTATCGAACTAACATACAACTAAAACATGGTCAATAAATAAAATTTCAGACTTAAAACAGAACTATTGAAATAAATTAAACTGAACATCCACTTAAATCGACTCGAACACGTGTCAAAAAATTAGGTTAAGGCGGGTAATAGAGACCTGACAAATAAAATGTTTTATCACTTGACAACGCCTTAGCAACCAAATAGTTTGGAGTTCAACATGACCTGGCGTCTCTTAGACACCTCCATTACATCGGCCAGATGCAGAGGAAAAAGTTCTGTCTCAAAAAAGAACGCGTTTTTCATATAATTTATTTATGCCTATTGAGTCAACATTACTCACCCCTTCAAGAATTTCATTTTTACCCACTAGGGGTAATTTATCCTTGTTTGCCGACCCCTAATCCAGTCAAAGGTATTGAAGTCACGTCCTTCTTATTAAATTTA